AAAAAAAAAAAAAAAAAAAAAAGACATTTGTGGTTGAACCCATGCTTTATATTTGACTCTTTGAAAAGAATGTCTTCTTGCCTTTTACTTAGAAATTCTCCTATTAGTTTTCAATAAATTAATCTTATAAATACCTCCAAAAGATTTTTCACAGAAAAAAAATCATTTAGTTAATCTTTACATTAACAAAAAAGCTTTAACTGCACATTAAACATGACTGAAAGTGTGGTTGAGGCACATATTCATTTAACTCATGTTTCCCATACCTAACAATAAAGAATGGCTCACCCAGACAGAATGGCCTTCATCTGGAAGAGATGATGGTGTGTGTATGCTGTGTATCTATATGTGAATGTGTGTAGGTGTGTGTGTGTGGGAGGAGGGAACATGTGCACTTGTACAGATAAGTTTGTATGCATAGGTGTGCAAGTGGGACATTTTCACTAAAATAAAGCAATTCATGGCAGCCATATCCTAGAAGAAAATCAAGTATCATATCTCAAAATAGACATAAAGTATCTCAGAATATTTCTTTCATTTGCATTCACTGTTATAAACTAAATATAGCATATTAAATACATATGGTGCTTTAACTATAAGTGCCCCTGTTCATTTGACAGGAAGCCAACTATCTTTTGCCTAGCACATTTCCCTAATAGGAATTTATTTGTGTGTGCATCCCTCCTCTTTTCTCACGTACCCTGTACTAACATAAATACTGAATTTTGATCCCTCTTTAATAGACTTTTTACCTCTTATCTCTTTGGCTCTTGCACAATATCATGTTAAATTCTGTGCACTTTGATTTAAAGGGAAAAAAGGTTTTAACTCTCTGCAAAATATAGATTGATGACAACATTTATAGAATTTTCCAGTAAAGGAAAGTTTAGAAGTTTTCTATCCTTTCCTGCAGGTCAAACAGCACAGTGTCACAGCTTACTGTAAAAATAACGATACCAGTAATCACACAAATGGAAATGAAAAGGAAGGAAAAATATTACATATTTAAATTAATTTATGATACTTTCTATCTTCCTCTCAATACTAGTTTTGACAGGATATATAGTTATCAGGTATAGACTTCCCAGAAAACCCAAACAATTAAACTGGTGTCACCACTTGTAAATGCTCATTTGATACTCACTTATTTTATATAGTATATGTTTCTCTTTACATCCTTTTATATATTTATATTAAAATAGTGGAGGTATACTCCTTTAGAAAATAATAAATAAAATACCTAGATACTATAGTGTAAGAAAATGAATGTTACCTTACATTTTTGTTTGAGAACCATAACGTAAGTTGTCACGCATGAGTTTAAAAGAATGTTGATTATTACTTTTTAGTCTTTGATTCTTGGTGCCCCAACTCAGTTGTAGTTTCTGGTTGCCACTGTCTACAAAGAGTCTTCTCTGTGAACCGTTAGAGCACTTATTGATCCTCTGAGTTGCTTTTACCACACAGCTTCCCCAGTGGTAATGATATATTCTTTAAAGTCAAATCCAGTTATGTTAAAGCAAGGGAATGATATTACCAAATATATTCTGCAGTGATAGCAGTAACACTGTGACAGAAAATGTAGTATTTTCCTCTTACACAACTGTAAAAGTTAAAGTCCTTTTACATTCAACATAAAAAGTTTGATTTCCCCACTAATAATTGAAGATGTAATTTTTAAAGGAGATCTACACTTATCATTTTTAAAAGCTATTGTGACAGCATTTTATCAAAGACCTAAATTTTCATTGGATAATTTAATTGCTCCTAAGCAAAGTAATGATGGATCCCCAGAGAAAGATCGTCTATATGTGACTTCAGGCTCAAGAATAAAATGGGGGAAGAAAGAAATGTATTTATAACAGTGAACAATTGGAAGCTTGGAAACAGAATCCACTTGAAGAGTATGAGAATGGTTATATTCATTTCATACTCTGAAACCTGATTGGAGCTCCATTGAAGCAGTTCTTTGTTTGCTAAGGTGGCATAGCAACAGCAGACACGTCTGTTTTCTCATTGCATCGTCACGAACATGGTCCAGCCTGTGTGTGACCATCGGAGACTAGCGATCATCATTCCTGTCAGTCGTCACCATGTCTTTCACGTTCATCTTCAGTGGCTCTTTATCTTCATGTCTACATCTCCATGTAGACATGCTGCGTCTAGAGATATTGGCTACCAAGGGGTTTAAGGCATCTCTGTTTCTATTTTCTGCATACCCACAGATAAACAACAAAGCCAACGTGGTAACCAGCCCCAAAGAAAATATTCCTACCCCGGCGCTGGTATACCTGGACTCTTTTGTAACCCTTCTTAAGTTCTTTACCTTTTCTTTTTTTTTTTTTTTTACAGAGTCTTGCTCTCTCCCCCAAGCTGGAGTGCAGTGGCACAATCTCGGCTCACAAGGGGTTTAAGGCATCTCTGTTTCTATTTTCTGCATACCCACAGATAAACAACAAAGCCAACGTGGTAACCAGCCCCAAAGAAAATATTCCTA